GTTTTCGTTTGGCAAAAACCAAACAAAACACATTTCTATGTTTATAAATAGAAAAAGCAGTTCTAAAATTCATAAAACACTGACTAAATGTACTATTACGACTCGGATTTTTGTGCCCATAACAATTCTCTTTTTCGATCATACATATAAAATGGCACGCTTTTGAACGTAGTTGAGAGGCTTTCACGAGCGCATGTTTTATGTTTGGGACAGGGACAAAGGATCGAAGTTTGGAGCTGTATTGGAGGTTTACCTTCAGGGGAATATTGTTGAAAGGGTTTAATGAAAGATGCAACAGTGTAAAGGTGGGTCGCCACTTGACTACGTGCAGAAACTGCATTAATATCACAGTGTTGTATGGTGAATATCTGAAGGTTACCTTTTATGTTTACTGATAAGAGGTCAACCTATGTTTTACTAATAAAGGTTTCATGGAATAAAAATTACATTTTAATTAAAACAACTTGGATTTACCATTTTATAAATTAATAATTAAGATTATTATGATATTTTTAAAACCATTACTGGTTGTTTGTTAATAAAAACCAAGTGAATACTGTATAATTTTACCTAGACTTACTAGATCAATCTGTTGACTTTTAATGTTTTAAATATAAAAAAAAAACTAACAGAATGGTAATAGAATGGACAATGGATAAGAAAATGATTTTAAATGCCCTTAGGTTTGTCAAACCAATATACACTATTTGGTTTAGGTGTAGTGGTTGGATAGGTTTATAACTGGTTGGTGCAAGGATACATTGTCTGTAGGTTTGGTTTTTGTTACTATTCTTCATATACTTTTTTATCTGATGACTAAAATTGTGTAGAAACTGTTAGTAGACGTAGTTAATAACTTTGTACATGAGTTATCATTAACAATTAATCCCTTAGCCATCTGTTTTATAAAAAAACGTGTTTAGTCAAAATATGATGCTCAGTGTTATTTATTTATTATAATCCAATAACTACCAATAAAATGATACAAAACGACACCCTTAGGCATCCAAGAATGTTTCATGGATAAGATTGTTCAATATAGTTTATAAATAGCGTGTTGTTTAAATATATGAAATCAAGGATAATTAAAAGACTAGACTAGATAATTACCACTTATAATAGCCAAGTGATTAATTATTTTTTATTGTTTCCTGATTTAGGACTCTCTATTTTTAGGTTAGTTAAAAGTTATATTTTTGAGGCTCCCTTCAGTCAATTCTTTGAAAGATTTTGCATTAAAATCGCCGATAAGGTAAAAAGAATCAATTTAAAAATGCAGGGTTAAGACGGTCTATGCAGGCGTTGGTGGGACGGACGGGTTTTTGGCGGTTTGTGTGCAAGTTCTGTTTATTATCAAGTTTATAGATTTACAGTATGTTACTTAAGATTGTTTTATTTAATCGATTTGAATAGTTTGTTATTGCTTTGTAGCATACGTAGGTTCTTTGTACAGTATTTGTTCCCAAGTAATAAATAAGAGTTATAATATTGTTTAAGGTCTTAAATGTTTATTTTGTATATTGCTATTCACTAATATTGCTAATTTTAAAAATACAATGGTAAAGACTGGCAGGAAAAACTAATACAGCACCAGGAATATAGCAACAATGACTAGACTCTTATCAGGCCGGTAACCTTGCCAATGATAAGGACAAGGTCAGAGAGTATGCAAACTGTGAAACCATTAACAACTATGTGTTATTTATTCTTATGTCTGACTTCCTGTAGAAGGAACTTTATCACACAATAATTGGTCTTAGCTTAGACAAAATATTGTTAGACATTTAAAAGAAAAAAAAGACTTGACTGTTGGTATCTTGTTATACTTTAAAATAAACTAGTTGCCTTACTGAACTGTTTTAAGAGCAGTCAAACCATTAAAAGTAAAAATGTAATTTTTTAAAAGGCATAAATTTATTGAAAATATTCCTAACTGTCTAACATACACTGCATTGAATCCTTTTTTGGTATTTGTAAAATATCCTCTCGTGGATATAGATAACTTTCTCTCATAACAGTTGGTCGGTACCATAACATTAATAAACATAACTTGCTACACCCAAGCAAATCAGTAAAGACTGTTATAAACGCCTAATTTAAATAACGATTCTCTGTATCTATCTGTGCCTATCCATATTTAACTGTACAATTAGTTAGTTGTGGTAGTCTTGATTCAAGAATTCTTCTTTTCAATGTTTAAAACTACTTTTTCAACAAAAAAATTGCAAATTAAATTGAATTAGTAATAAATCCATGAAAGTAAAGAGACTTAAAATTGACTGTGTAAAGAGTTTTTTTTCATTTAACTCATAAACTTGATTAAGACCGAGCAAACAAGCAGAGAGTCTTGCTAAACAAACTTAAGTGGCTTGCTTTGAAGATTTATTGTTAAATGTTTGACTCGTGCAAACATGTTTATAAGTGAGACAGAGATATTGTTTCTAGGTCCTATGCTTAAATTGTGTTCAAAGTATGAAATTTTCGTCAAGTAAAACAACCTTTCATTCGTAATTTTTAACCGGTAAGTGTTTTTAGTTCAGTAACTATTTACGTTTATTATATAGAGTCACGCTTACCCCATCAGTAAATAAATCGATATAAATAAAATTACATTTTTGTCTGTACAATTGTTCGGAATGATCTATTTTTTAAGTTTGTTATATTAAAGAAGCCGAAACAAGGCTTATCTCAATTTCTGTCTGTCTGTCATGTCCCAGAAGGCTGTTTTACGCGTCCTTCTCCTGAAAAACGACAAAACAGATCATGATATTTTTATGTACAGTAGAGCGTCAAAAATCCAAACTTCAAAAATTATTAAACGTCAAAAATTTAAACCGCTCCTGAGGGTTTTTAAATATTTAATTAGAAATGATATGTTTTACAATTTCGCGAGCATAACAGTTGGTAATGTACCAAAAATACCTAAGTACAAAAACCATTGTTTTTATTTTATTTCCAGTATCCTAGAACTGTATCTTTAACACTGTATGCCTAATTATGTGTCTATTAGGCATTTATAGGCTATGTCTGAAAATCCGAACAAATTGGTAATCAGAACCTACGGTCTAAATGGGTTCGAACTTTTGACGCTCTACTTCTTTACATGCATAAGAAAATTTGTTATTATTTGAAACATGCCAACGTCCATTAGAAATAAAATAACGAACACAAAAAAACAGTTTTGTGCGGTTTTAGACTCATTTTGTTCTAAGTTGTTCCATACAAGTCAAGTGATCTGTTGTAAATTAAAACGGATCTGTTGTAAATTAAATAATACTGTATTGGCTGTTTCTGCAATATTTTACACCACTCTTTTGAGATTTGTATCTGTGATATATAACATGTAAAATGTTATAGTATATCCCACCGTAATGGATTTACATACTTGCTAATTACAGTAAAGACAGTAACAGTAAAATGGTCTTCGGGTTACTTCTAACTGAATGTGGAATTTTACAGTTTGAAGACAATAAGCAAGAACAGCTGTTTAAAGCTAAATGCAACGTACTGCATCTCCTTATTTTATAACACTACAGGCATTACTATATAACTGATGTAATGTTATGGTGCAAGTTTTCTCTGAGGACACGACCATCCATCAGTTGTATTATTACATACGTTAGTTAAATTGTGTTCGATATACTGCATAATGTCATTCAATTTAAAACAATCTACTCTTGTAAAACTAAACTCATTTACCCATGGAATATCTATTTATAAAATAGGTATACACAAATAAACAAAAATAAGGCTGATCTTTGTTTATTTATTTTTAGTGGGACGGAATAAATTATCCTACCACCATAGCACATGTATTGAGGCCACATGAGGTTTTAGTTTTTCTGTATGGTTGGGTAATTATTTTTAGAAAATTAATGATCCAACGAACAGTAACTAGTATTTCACTTACTGCATTTACCAATCACATTATTTACTAGGGAAATAATTTTCAAAGCAAGGCATGTGTTTATTGTCACGCTGCCTATCAGATTAAATGACAAAAGTGCTTAATTATCGTTGTCGACTGTCAACAGTAAACTCAAACATGGACGACTGGAACAGAACCTCACGGAATTTAAATTTAGAGTTCATCCGATCAGTGCTAATTAAATTTAATTTTTTGCTTGCATTGTGGCAATCAATTTGGATTACATTCAAAAATGTTTGTTTTTATTAAAGCCTCACAGCATATTTCAAGAATCGTGTTATAAGTATAGATCTTTCAAAGTGACTAATTTAGGTTAAAGGGTTCAGATTTTTTTATATTATGGTGTAAGGAATTTACTAATATTTCATTGACCAACACTCCAACATTGGATTTGCATGAAGTAAGTTTGGACATCAGGAATAGCCTACATTATTCGCAAGCTGCAATAATAATCTTAAATTATCATTTCTAAGGAAGAATAGCTATTATATACAACGCAAATGGCTAATAAAGTTACAACAAAATAATTAATATTCCTTATAACTGAGGAAATAGACTGTTATATACTTTCAAAAATTTGGTATAAGACACTCGACCATTTTTAAGGTCATTGACAATCAATGAACAAAAATTAATTACTCATCAGTTGGTATCACGATATACGAGTTACCAAAGTTTTGAGTACAGTCAAAGTAAATTGAAAATTAACGTTTTTTTGTTTGTTGCATGTATTGCCAAATTTCTTTCGAACTATAATTACCGTCCCAATTAACAAGATTTATTAATCTCATGATTACATTTTATTTTACTTCGTACAATTAATAATTTTAGTACCATTACGAATTAGTGACGATATATTCTGTAACTAAAATGCTTGTGAATTATCTGTAGGATGAATTACGTGCATTGAGTCCCATGTACAAAGTATATAAATCGAAATATACTCAACCAAAAACTACTATTGATAACGTAAAACAAATTTTCAAAGCTATCATTAAATCTAAGAGACACACCTTAAAGCTTTAAACTGTTAGAAACGTTTAACACCAAATTTATTTTCTTATTTACACACCTTTATTATCTGGACCTCCCTCAACATATGGTTGGTTGATCATAGTTTGTCCATGACACACGGCGCTACATTACAACGACCCGTGACACACTCACCGTCTCGGCGCCGCACACAGACTGAGTAGCGGGCGTCGCTTACCCGCGTGTCACCTCAGTCAAGCGCAGGCGTCTCGGCGCCCCCCCCCCCACCTCATCCTGCCTACACTCCTCAACATACAGCGTACTAGCAGACACCTGAGTCCTTGCTTGAGATTCTCAATGCTCTTGAACCTGAATACATTCTAAATTCAATATAAAATATTAAGTCACGGGTATATGAAGAATCTAATAGTCAAGCGCAGGCGTCTCGGCGCCCCCCCCCCCCACCTCACCCAGCCTACACCCCTCAACATTCAGCGTCCTAGCAGACACCTGAGTCCTTGCTTGAGATTCTCAATGCTCTTGAACCTGAATGCATTCTAAATTCAATCTAAAATATTAAGTCACGGGTATATAAAGAATCTAATGTTGTCGATTGTATTGTAAATCCTCATCCAGTATCAATGTTATAATATGGTAAATAGATTGGATAAGAAAAGAACAGCTCTGAGAAGAGTTTCGTGAAAGGTATTGTTTTGGTCATGCTGTTGACGATGTATTGTATAAAAAATCCCGGGGTCAACATTGGAAATTGTTATGGTGTAGTTTTATCAGGTTTTGTTAGCAATGCAATATCTGTATACCTTGATCTACCATTGAATTATTAAATCACTATGAGTTGAGTAATTTTCTCTCAAACAACGTAACATTGAGTGAATATGGTTATAGTGTTTGCCTAGTAATCAAAAGGTCACCGGTACGATCCTGTGAAAAGTCAGTAGCTTTTTGATGGTTCCAACCTGACTAATGAAACAGCTGATCTTAGTCAGTAACAAAGCTAAACAGATCATCTTACACCATTCTACACTCATCCTTCACTCATATGTGGTTTAAAATACGCACCTAGGTGGCGTCCCCATCTCAATGATTGATAATTGATAATTATACAAACCAACCCATTAATAACCTTCTTACCATAAAATGTATTTTTTACCCAACGACTTATATATCACAGCTAAATCAGAAATGTGTCCGCTTCAACTAATCTGTTACTTATACACCTTCTGACTCGATGAAATCAACGCTCCACATGGTCTTAATTGATACTAAAATGTGCATATTTATTCTAAATTCAAAAAGCAAAATTTTGCAAATTAAATTAAAATTTTTCAGCCTTATATCACTAGAGAGTTCAAGTACGCTGCCTTATCATACACCGCTGCGTCTACAATTTTAATCCCTTTTGAAGTATTTAAGATTGAAACTCTCTATCCCAACCTAATTTTCTTTTTCAAGGGGTCGTTGGTGAAGCCCATTTTCGCACTCATCCTCCGCTGCTTCCTACTTTTATAAAGATACACAGCCACAACCGTCTACCGCACACACTAGTGGATGTGGCAGTCGATTAGATAACGGAAATGGGTTATGAGATTGGAAAGAGGTTTGAGCTGAACAGATGTAAGTGGTTGTGAAGTATGGGAAAACCTAGTTATGAACTGTGAGCATCGTGAAATTGAAATCATAAAATGTGTCTTTCGCTTATATCATGTTTCTAAAATTAAATAATTTGCTTTTAAATTAAAAAAATATATTTAGAAAATTACGTATCGTTTTTTTCTTGATTTTTAAAGTCTTTTGGTTTTCAAACTCGTTCCTCATACACGTTACAAATTAGTATTTATTTTAACTATGCCGAAACATGCACGTTTCTCAGTAGGCTGTAAGTATTTTAAAGAATGAAATAAACCTCTATAATTCTCTAATTTTGTTGCTATTTATTATATCTAATTAATAGGAATAATAACTAACAGCTTTTTTGGCAAACATCTGCTGAGTAATCGACATTGAGTAATTGAACATTATTCAATCATTGGGTTACAAAAATCTCAGGGGTGGGGATTCGTTAAGACTGAATAAAAAGATGCAGTTTAAATAATTAAAATATTTATTTATTTAAAAGCTGAATGATGATTTAGGATGATAATAAAGTAAAATTATGCTATGGGTTTGGATTCTGAATAAATTTGTTCGAGCTAGTTCAGATGGATGTTGAAGGAGTCTAAGTTAGGCTTAGTTGAAATTCGAACGTTCTCATGAATCTTCAGTTAAAGTTGTCTTCTGTCTTCTTTAAACTAATCTTCCAATAGTATTTAAAAGTCTTCTTTCTTCTATTTGATAAATACCACCTAATTATACAACAATGTAACAAATTTATTATTTGAATTTAGCACAGCTTTGATGATCTTATCTTTCTTCAAATCTCATACTACACAGCTCATTATTGTTGATCCATGCGTTCATTTATGGAGTTTACATACTTTATAACATTCGTTGATATTTTAATTTAAATCTGAGCTCAGCTACATTGTATTTCTAATTTTAAGCCAATGTTAAAAGACAATGAATACATTTTGGTTAAAAATTACATATATTTTCAGACAATGGTGTTTAACTAATGTTAACATAGGTTTCGGAGAAATTTGGGCAAATACATTTTACATTACATTGATCAGATGAATATGAGTAAATATTAAAATAAAAACAAGATTTACTTTTGACATTTAATTAAGTACTATTGATACACGATGAATTTTGAGTCAATACGAAAAAAATTAATATTAACATATTTTAATAAAGAAACAATGTTTATAATTTTGTTCTTATATTCATTATTTTATCGACACGTTATACACATTTACCGTTTAGTAAAGCAGTAAATTAAAAGGTAAAAACTCCCATTATTTGTGGGAAAATTAAAATGATTTGATTAAAATGACGGCTCTTAAAAAGTTCTAAGAATCAAATAAACATGACATGATGCACGACTGACTTTCCTTTTAAACAGATAATTTTTTTACAAAGGTTCTATCATCAAAGGTTCTATTCTAGATAGACTTGGACCTTATGACGGATGCTTTCATGAAATGCCACGTGTGACCTTACGTGTATGGAAAGCTTTGAGTTAAAATAGTCACTAAATGCTTACTAATTGGCATATATTTAATAGTTTCCCAACACAATCAGAGTTTACACACATTTAAATTATTAGTTAATGTACAAAGTTAAGAGTCTTCATCAGTGGCAGAAATATTGGATTTTAGTCCCATAAGAACAATGTTAACTTTGTAACTGAATTTCTAAAAAATCTGTTGTGATAAAATAATGATTGAGGTGTTAAAATTAAGATTTAGTGGTCCTTTAGGGAATGAGGATTTTAGATTTGTAATATTTCCTCCACTTAATAGGTTAATGATTTTATTAAATAAGTCTTTAATTAAATACTTTATTAAGAAAAGACAACAAAATATTTGAAATATCATTACCTCATTCCCTAGTAATCTATGTTATTAACCTAATTGTAAATTTTCAGAATTATATCTTTATAAATAACACCGGCATGCAGCTTCAAATGAAGCTATGTTCTGTCAAATTTAACATTGCTCTTACGGGACTAAAATCCAATATGACTACCACTAATGAACACTCTTAAGTGTTTTTATGACCATAAAATATAAATCAAATTGGCAAGTATATTTATGGTTTATGATTTTTATATTTATGATTTTATTTTATTTTATTGATAATGTCTACTCTACGTCTACTTTAAAATGTTCGTTTCCATACACAAGTACAACATAATACTTTCGAAACGCGTAGATTATAACGTTTCTTTTCATAAATTACACCTATCCTTCAACACCTTTAAGCTAAGCTATGTAGGATGAAACGTAGATAACAAGTAAATGAAAGTTCGTTGAGTCCAGAAAATGATTATAAATAGTTATACCAATATAATATTTTTGTAAATTAGAACTGTATTTAGTATAATTCAAATTGTAACTACGCTAGCTAACATTTATGTTACCCAATTTGTACCCTTATCATTTGTTAATCATTGTCAATGCTGATACAATAATGACAATATGTTATCATTGGATTATACATCACTAAGCTTGATTTTAGTCGAACGTTCTACCAATTATCTAAATCACACACATGTCAAACTACACAATCAACACCCGATCATTGAGAAATATCCTATAAAAATGTACACATACAAGCTCAAGCTGTGTTTCTCGGTAAAGAAAGGAAAACTAGCGGTTATCTCTTATTGTAATCAAACTACCCTTACGATGCAAAGAAGTTCCGCTCTAAATTACACTAATATTCTCTGCTTTTCTCCTTTAGCTATCGAATGTATAGTGTTAATGTATAGTGTTCCTTATAATTCTGCTTAACAAGTTTTATCCATACAGTTCTTTGCTTTTGGGTACTTTATATAATGGTTATTATAAGTTCTGTATATTGGACAACTGCGCTAAGTATACGTCATAATAGATATATTGGACTTGTAAAGAATTTTAAATACAGTGCAAGCTCAGTACAAAAGGTTTTACTGTGTAGTCAAGTAAGTATTTTGGCACAATGCAGATAAATACCAGCTTATTTTTATGACAACCGCAAACATTATGCATAGTAAGTAAGTGCTTGGACCTCGGTCATACGCTGACAAAGTGCACTCTTTCTGACTAAAATTCACTTTAAAATAATATAAAAATGGTTTATTTTACCTTTTTGCGTCGGACGATCCGTGTGTAGTTAGTACAACTACAGCTGTTTCATACCACTAGGGTACATCATCAGGTTGTTGGCAGAACGTTAGATAAAACAGCATTCATTCATAGATGAACTTGTCGAAATAAATATGTCTATATACACATAATACACGAAAAACATTTAAAAAACACGAATTTACAAACTTGGCCAAGTAACGAACACACGAGACAGGCGCCGATGGATGTTGCGTCATGACTGCTGTCGTGTGTCCAAGCATCAGCTGTTACCCCTCCCCCCCAACTCCTTTATCAGGACCAGTTTTGTTTTGGTTTAAATGAATGGCAGTATTGTGGATGATATTAGATCTGAATGAAATTTGTTCGTTCAATATATGGTCAGGGTGTTCTTTGGATGCCTTGTATATTTCGAACTCCTCTATTGTGTCCATGTATCTGCCTTTAGTACATAA